ACTTCTCCAATTCGATCACAAAACCACTGGATGTCGTTGAGGTCGTTATCCATGATTGATACCAGGAAAGCCACACCAGCAGGCAACAAGTACGACGGCGCACGCAAATCCCTCAAACACCAAATAGTGAAGAATCTAAGGAAAGACCGAGGGCTCTGGTGGGAGATGGAGAAGGCTTTTGCTACGGGAAACAGCCGCGCCCTTTATCCAACGATCCGATCGACTGGCCCTAGGAAAGCAACGGTCAGCGAAACGAAAAATGAAAATGATGGCTCATTAATTCACTTGCAAAAACGTGGAGAGATGATGTAAACCTTGATCGCGGTTGATAAAGCGGCAATGCCTACTGGGACATTATGCTCCCTCATAACTGAAGTATGCTGTGTCTCCAAATCGCGCACACAAGAACCGAGCTTGGCTATGCTCAAAAAACCCCAAGAATGAACTCAGCTCTTTATGTTTCTTCCTTTATATGTCCGATGACCCAGAAGCGATGACTCGTGGAACATAGGTCGTGGGAGTTACACTCAGCCCCAGAGCTGAACGCGCTTTGCTGGACTGGATCCCAATGGACAGTCACTTTTGCGCCGTCCGGTTATCTATTCCATTCAAGCCCAGTGCCTGTCAAGATAAAAACACGACGCCCGTTCGTGGTTTCCTATTCCCCTGCACCTGAAATCCCTACAACACTGCAACCAGTGAGTCTGCTTGCTTTCAGATTAAACCACATTTTTGAGGCAAAGCTTGACATGTGCTCCCAATTTGAATCAACCCATCCCCGTCTCCACTGTTGCTCGTTGTGACTCCGGCCATTAACCTAACCGCCCAAGGTCACTCATGGCCAGCAATGGTTTTCAGTTTTAGTTCATGCCACCTGACTGTCTTTGATCTAGTCGAACCTCATGCCCATTTTTCCCAAAAAGTTGGGAGATAACCTATTATTGCTATATCNNGTTCCCCACTGTTTGTGACATTGTCCTCTTTTTGTGCAATCCGTACCCCCACAAATCCCTCAGTCATGCTCCATTCTGACTGTAAAACTATGATCATGCCAGACGGTATGCCACCCACAAGTTGGGAATAAACATTATTATTATTACTACCACGGACTGCAGTTCTCAAGAGCAGAGGGATACTCCATATGGGCAGCTATAGCCTACCGGTACCACATGGAACCGACTGGAGGTACCTGCAGAATGACACCTGTCGAGAGCTACTCAATCTTTAAGAAAGAATGCGTGGTTCACGGAATCACGGATTGATACACAGAATCGAGGCTATTGTCCAAGTTTCCCAGGTTGCTTTTGTTCTGGTCGGTAAGTGGCTGTCGTTCACCTGAAAGGCA